CGCTGTGCTGCCCATTGCTGCTTCGCCGAACACAGCAGCACCTGCTGCGTTTTTCTGCCTGTTCTCGACCAAACAGCAGCCGCTGTGCTGCCCATCGCTGCATCGCCGAAGACAGCAGCACCTGCTGCGTTTTTCTGCCTATTCCCGACCAAACAGCAGCCGCTGTGCTGCCCTTCGCTGCTTCGCCAAAGACAGCAGCAACTGCTACGTTTTTTTCTGCTTTTCTCGACCAAACAGCAGCCGCTGTGCTGCCATTTACGCCTCGCCAAGACAGCAGTAACTGCTGTATTTTTTTTCTTAGTTTCGCCCGGCCAATCAGTGACCTGCTGAGCTGTCCTTCGTTGCCTCGCCAACCAGCAGCACTGCTGTTTCACCTCTTCGTTTGCTACGCAAAACAGCCGCTTGCAGTGCTGTTCCCTTGTCTTTCTTGCCCAAAACAGCAGCCGATGCTGCGCCACGCGAACCAGCAAACATCGTCAGCAAGCAACAATCCATATTTTGGGATTTCTCCTAAATCCTACAGGTGAGTTCACTCGGTATTTTGTGACTTTATTTTCAGAATGATGTTGTACTTTATGTGTCAAATCCCCTAATGTCTAGAACTTACTTAATATAGGAAAAGTACATAGTTTGGGTCGTTAGTAAATGAACTTAGAAGTCCCGCTGCCCTTTTTAGTGAGGGTTGTTACCGACTCAAGCACTAAGAGAATTATCTAATTCAAGTGTTATCCGCCTGAAAGCCGTAAAGGCCTTGTAAATCGTTACATGGAGTTATTCACTAGTAGTAGGAAATGCTTCGTTACCTTAGGAAATTATTTGAGAATCTTATTGGCAATTACGTTTTTCTCCTTATAATTGGGTCGTTACTTGAAAAACTTATCTTCGGGGTGTAATGTGTTATGGGTTCGGAATTTGTTTTAATCAATTGGTGAAGAGGTTGATGTGATTTGGATTTAGACATTGTGATCATTATGTAACTTCCAAATCCATCTTCTCTTTTGTCCACTCGGAAATAGGCATTGAGATCATTATGTAATTTCCGAGGTAAAGAGCTTAAGATCACGACCGACTACATGACTGGTTAGGTTGATGTCAATGGTTGATAAACCTGTAAGTGATGCTCTGCAACGTTGATCTATGACTTACTTTGTGTTCCGTCGAAATCAACGGTAAATCGGATCTCCCCCGTCATCTTCGGATGATTGGCTCTCCCACGAATTACTTTGGACTTGCTGTTCTGTTTACCAATTTATATATATATATATATATATGCTCATTTTTTCTTGTATATAAGGTTTTATGGTTACACTTATTCTATTGTTTGGACTCACTAGGCGTAAGTCTAACACTTCTTCTTGAAATGGTTTGCTTATCAGGTTCCTTTAGCGGCAGGGTATCGAAGGGTTGAGAAGTTTGTCGTTCGTAAAAGTCTTTTTGTAGTCAAAACACTGGGTGTTTCGAGCGTCGCATTTTCGATGAATTTCGTTTTTGTTAAGGTGGTAGAACACCCATTCTTAATCTAGCCATAGAATTGTTTAGATTAAATAGGTTGTTAATTATCGCCTCATTTCTTTTATTTTGTAAACGCTTTACTTCTCCCCTTTGTTGGGTGATCTTATTTTAAACTTTAAAATTCTTTCCGCTTTGAATTATCTCCCTCCTCGTTATGCTCTCTCACCATTTTTTTAGGGTGTTACAATAGCCATAAATGTTACCTAATAAAATAAGTGAGGATGATCATTCTTGTCATCATAGACGTAACCGGTAATCATTTAGTAAAGTACTCTTCAATTAATCTCCATCGTGTAATTTACACGTTCATAAAAGGAAATCTTATTTCATCCAAATGGATCTATCACATCAAATTCAAATTTTTCAAAGGCTAATGCTATATACATCTTCTTTTATGTCAAAATCAAGTTAATTCAAGCATTAAGAACGTAAAAAATATGTTCTGATGTTGAGATGTGTGTGAAACGTAAATTAATAAGTAGAGGTGCATTTAGTTCACGCAAAAACATTAATCACATTAAATGTCTTTCTGCCAAAATATTGATATCCAATTAACAAATTTATGTTAATTTAATTTAAGTAAAAGTAAAATAAAACATAATTGATATAAAAATGAGCACATGATTGTATGTAGGGGGTGTAACGAGTCGAGCTTTTAACGAACTATTCGAGCTCGAACTCATTTATCTCGAGCTTGAGCTTGATAATTCTCGAGCTTGAGTCAATCTTGAACACAAAATAAGACTTGTCTAACTTAATTTATAACACCAGTGTTCGACTCGGCTCGTTCGAAAACTCAATTAAATACTTGGAATTGAACCGAACTGAGCTATTCGAGCATACCCTTTTTCGAGCCAAATATGCTCATATGTTCATACAAAAATATTAAATTTATCAACATCGAGCCAATAAACATCGCGAGTTCGAGCCGATAAACGAGTATCGAGCTCGAGCTTGAGCCCTACATTGAAAAAGTTATTGAGCTCGAGCCATGCACTATTTTCTCAAGCCGAGCTCGAATAACCCCTGCTAGTGTTTGGTGGAGCCATGCACTAGTATCAACCTACATCACCTTGTTCCCTTCTGGTGTTTGGTGGCATTGGTTTTAGTTTAGGTTACCAATTTTGTTACTGGTTTTGATTTGGGTTACCAATTTTTTTGGTTTTGGTTTCGGTTACTGATTTTGCTTTAGGTTTTGGTTTGGATTATCAATTTCGTTCCTGGTTTTGATTTGGGTTACCGATTTTGTTTTTGGTTTTGCTTTGAGTTACCGATTTTGTTTCTGGTATTGATTTGGGCTACCAACTGCTTACTTCCCTTTTCTACTCTTATCAGAAAACTATTATTTTATGGGATCCTTTTAGATTTTGTGATCCAACTTGTTTTGAAAGTTGAATCAAGATTCAAGCAGGCTAAACGCACACATAGGTATCACTTGCATTGCTTATGTCAATGGAATTTTGTTAAGGATTCAATTGGTAACTAACTTCAACGATTTGTTTATTCTTCTTGATCTCTACATCATTTCGCTTACAATTAACACTTATGACTTCACCATCCATTCATGCCCACAATCTGTTTGTTTTTATTCCTCTTCATTGAAATTGATTATGTAAAGTAGTTTTCCATCTGTTTTTTTAACTTTTAAGTCGATGGGTTTAAAGAAGATGGGTTTGCCTATAGCTCGATTTGGTCGACAAGTGAAAAGGTCATATGGGGTTTTTATAAAGTTCGCATCAGTGGCAATCTTGGGATTGTGTTTTGTGTTTGTTTGGTATATGTTTTGTTCTTAAGCTTTCTCTCACATCTCAAAGAAGCACTTTTGGTTTATGAACGCTTTGCTGTATTTTCCTTTTGTTTTATAAAATTGCCTGGTTTCCGTTCAAAAAAAAAAAAAGAAGCACTTTTGGTGAAATGGCAGATCCATTTCAGAAAGGAGGCAAATAAGAAAGTTAGAAAGCGCATTCCTTGTATTGACATTGAAACCACTTCAAAACAAATGAAAAGTTATCGCCATCATGAGAGGAGTTGTCCCAAGACTCCCTTAATGTGCCTTGTTATTGAACTATAATAGTAGCACGTGATAACAGGTGTAACAGAGCCTCCAAAAAAATTAGGACGGCCCTGGTTGGTTCATTCAATGTCGCAAATAATGTGGTTTCAGAAACACATGCTACGAATGTACAACCAAAGCCGATACTTAAAAACCAAATTTATTATTTCAGAAACACATGTTACGAACGTACGCCCTCTTTCCTAACACGGAGAGCTACGAATATTTATTATTCACATTCATAAATCACGGATATGGCGGTTGTCTCCTCACACACGCACCTGCATCACTAATATTTAAAAAAAAATTACATATTACCCTCCAGTGATACATAGTTGTTCGACAAAAATAAGCTATCTTATTTTTCACATATACACTTATAAGCTAACTTATTAAAATAACATTTTAATAATTTTTATCACTTTTTCTAATAATAACCTTCATTAATATTAATTATTATTTATTACTATTAATTATAAATAAATATTAATAAAATTTAACTAGTACTAATATTAACTATTAATAAATATCAATTTTAATATAAATCGAAATTAATTGTTCATTATACATTATACATTAAAATATATTATTTATTAATTATTTACAATAACTTTTTTTTATATTTAGTTATCAAAACGCAAACATAACAATTTTTAAAATAAATTATGTAACAAAAAAATTAAAGTTTTACTTATTTTGTTTTATTGATGATCAAATATGTTAAATAATTTGAATAAAATATTTAATTTAATTACTGAATAGATTTAAAAAAAATTATTAATGAATTAAAATATGTAAGGTAGAGCATTTTTATTTTTATATGTAATGGTTTTTTAAAATCATAGATAATATATTTTTTCTAAAATTTGTTTTGGCAAATCAAATATTATAGTATATAATAATCAATTTAAAATTCTTTTGATAAATATATTCTATTTTTAACTTTTTTACCATCTTATCTTATTTGTATTAGTTAATATATTATATTATTAGAGATTTGTTTAAATTACATCTTGAAATATTATAATTAATTAATTTTTCAAGATATCCTTTTTGGTCATTTTACGTTTTTATCGGCTAGTTTTTGCCAAACATGATTTGTTCATCGGCTAGCGTATCAGCTAGTTTGCCAAACATAGCCTCAGTAATGATTTAACTAACAAATAATCATAAAAAATAGCAGTTCAAAATGGTAAGAGAAAATGTAATGTAATGTACCCCATGCATGGAAGTTAAGCTGAAGATGCAGCATCAAGAAGCTTGAATTCCTGCAATTCTTGGAAATTCATCCATGGCTTAACCCACACCTTGGCTTCATAAGTTTTCTTGGCACCCCCATCATTGGCTTCCAGTGTGATATAGTACATGGTACCTGCTACCACCTGCTGCTTTGTATTTACTACCTTCACAAACTCCAGCAGTGCATTCTGCAAAACATAATCCATCATTTCCTTGCTACTTATACTGGACACAATTATTCACAACAACTCCATAAATAACTGAAGTATAAGCAATTAGACAGAGTAACAAGCTTAACATCAAATATAACAAGTACATGACGGCGTCATTTTTTACCAATCGAAGAGCATTAAATTTGCTTTTTAGCTACTTAAGTTGCAGCATAAGAAGCATACCGAAACTTCAGTTGTCAAAATCCACCTTCTTGTTTGTCCTCTATCGGTTATGATGGTATTTTCATTTTGAATCTCGAATAACCACTTTGAATTTCAAAATTAATATGAATAAGTTCAAATTGGTGACTGTCAAATAAGTACAAAAAAATGATGTTAAAGAAGGAGACAATTATATGTTTAGAAAATACAGTATGGACCTTCAAAGTAGAATGGTGACGAAATAAGATCAGAGGGAGGGATTGCTTTGCTTATTGAACAAACAAACAAACACATAAAAGTTCGATGGGAGTTATTTAAATCAATAGTTGATATACAAAGTCATTAATCAACCTCCACAGTATTTTTAACAAGTGTGTGTTTGAAGTTTTCCTTGAACTTCACCTTGGAATAAGGTCAACCTTAACTAATGTAAAGGTTTATTGGGGTTAAAGCAACGCTTGAGAAAGCAGCTGATCCATATTAATAGGAAATGAATTGGGATAATGTGGAACACACACTTTATGTGGGGGAGAAGAACATAAATAAGATGCATAAAGATGTAAAGAAGGCACTCACTAAAACAAAAAAAACACCAATTCAAAACCAAGCCAAATGGACTCGATATGTCCCACTCAGAAGTATACTGGGGGTGGGATGTACACAAACTTGTCCTCTATCCGAAAGGATAGGGCGCCTAATTGGGTGAATACCTCCAGCATGTGAAGAAGTGTGACAATTCCTGAGAATAGAACTATAAACGCATAATAGACATTTCCTGCGTCTATAGTTCTATTCTCAAAATTATCCCAATAAGAAATTTGTGAACTCAAAGCTGATAGGGTTGAATTATTGTATTCGGAAAGTCCTTTCCGACATGATCTTGAGTTTTATCCAGTCCTATACACAGTCCCTAACAGTCCACACCCAAGCAAGGCAACAAGAGGGGGCATTCTTGGGCCGTCCAAGAATAACGATACAATACATAACTACGGACACCATATCCTTGGATAGATAGTACCAAACCAAACAAGCTTGAGGTGCGGTCTGGGGTGAGATGTATGCATACATGTCCCCTACCCTCAAAAGAGTAGAGCAACTGTTCCACCTTTTCTCCTTGATTCTAAAATAGAAGGGATTATAAGTCACAAACAATCATCCTAATCGTATAAAACTACTTGGATCACTCATGTTCTAAAATAATCGTCCTACACAACACAAATTGGTCAAAGTATATGTACATATATGCATAGTTGGATAACAATCCATTACCAGAGTGTTCATCCACCACATTCCAACAGTCTAAAATTAATCAGATAGCTTATTCTTTCTAATTCGAAAAAACACTTCCGACTCATGGCTTTTCTCCTACCAAAATCAAATTTCTTCCATCGACGAAAACAGGAGATCTAAGATGCAAGTCACTTGCATACAAGCTGTTTATAGAATATTGAACATGTATGGATGTGCATAATCCTCATGAAACACGCAGTCGCAGAGCTAAAACTAACGTAAACCAACGATTACGATGTGAAAAACCAAACAATCGGACCATCAAAAACCCACGATTAGAAAACTTGCGTTTCAAACTGAAGAAAGATGATGAGAAAACAATACCTGCTTCTTGTTGTGTTCATCAACAGCGAATCGAGCAAGGGTATCGATTTCAAGGCTGTTTTCAACGCCCTTAGATTCGCTAATTCCTCCAAGAACTGCCATTTTTGTTACTAGTAACCCTAAATCTCAGCAAACGTGAAAAAGGACAGATGTGTTACTTGATCAAACCGATATGTGTATATATAGTTGAGAATGGAGAAATAAAGATCGACCATGGTTTCCTGGCCGTTGAAATTCATGAAACCAAGGGGCTCTTTACCTTTGACTTGTTACCTCTGACCAAGAAAACCTCTTACCCCATTAAGAGATAGGGTTGTTTACTCAATCTTTTTTATTTATCAAGGGCTTATTTCAACTCGTGTGTTATGATTCTTTCCCGCCCCCATTCGTTTCGCTCACAACAATCCTATTAATTTTTCGGACGAAAAAACATTTTCTTATGGAATACAAGGGCCTATTTTTGTATGCACTGATTTCGAAACCTTATGCTTTCTTAAAATGTCCTTTTTTGAACTTGTTAGTAGTAGGTGTTTATGGAAGATTACTCGCATTGGCTTTCTATCCAAGTAGGAAAGTTCTTGAGCAATCTTATCCATAAGCTTACATAAACCGTGGATCAACACTGTGAATGCAATGTTTTTATTGATTAGCACAAACAGTTACTAGTATTCTGTTATGTATCTTGAATGTGTGTTTTAGCTATAACTTAGCAAATGGCAACCTCTAATCGTTGTTGACTGCTTGTCTTACCTATCGACACTCAAGCCTGTTTATCCTGCTTTCTTTCCTTTATAAGACTRGAAGAGATAGAAGGCTCTCCTGTCTTTGCCCATTGATCAATCGATTCTTCGCGTCCTGCCAGTTCACTAAGTAGACTCACTCTACCTAGGGGCAACAAAGGACTTCAATGGATGGACTCGATCGAATGGCCAACCACTTTCCATTTTTGTGTATGAAGTTGACCCCTACATGATTGATAATGACTTTGTGTTTGTATTCCTGCCTGAAAAAAGTATATGCATCCTGAAGGTATGACTACTTAGCTTTGCCAGAATAGTTATTTTCAAGATAGGTTGTTTGCCATATATGTTTACACCAAAATTGTGATATAGTGTTGTAGCCTTTAATCTTGATATGCGTATGCCCCCTAACTCAGAAGGTAAATTTGGTGTGTGCTTTATAACTTAGAAAATGAATTCCGCTTTAGGAGTGTGGAACTTATTAGCTTATTATCAACCTTCTCTAAAAGAGCTTAGTCTGTAGAATGTGTGTGAGTACAATTGTGTTTCTCTTGTATTCATCTATATGATACCTAAAAGATATGTAATCAGTAAAAATATTGTGTTGAGCTATAGTTTAATGTTAACTGAGCACCTAATGTTCTTCTAAAAAAAAAAAAAAAGGAAACGTGAAGCTTGATTTCTCAAGAGATTGGTCACCTTGTTTATATTTAGAAGATATAAGTAGATAACTGATGGATATGGTTCATGTGATTCTTTCAAATGATAGTGCTGCTTGTTTTCCCAAGTTAGTTGGCATAACTTTGGTAAAAAGAGGCTTAAACAGAACCATGGAGAGGTAATAGTATGTCAATTTCCTTGAACTTACATGACCACTTCTTTTATGGCCCACTTGTTCTTTTACCAATTTAATTATTTGACAAAATACTGATTAATAGTTCTCCCCATCAAATTGCAGACCAGGTCGTTCTTAGTAATATCCTTATCATTTTTACTTTGTTATAAATTTGCATCTCAGTTTTCACTCTGAATTATCCAAGGAAAGTATATATAAAATTAATTGCAAAAAAAAAATGGTAGATATTTTTCATCGGATTAATTTCCGAATCTTTAAAAAGACCAAGAAAGATTGCTAGTTTTTTTTTGGGATGTGATCTTTTTATGTTATACCATGATGCCCTAACGTATTAAGAGATTGTTTACCATTACCTAAATAAACTTTTACGAGGCAATAATCATATCTTCCTAGTGTTTGAAATTCATGATTTGTTGCTTAATTTTTCTAGATATGGCAAACTTTGGTGAATCTTCATAATTGAAAAATCTTAGAGGTGATTGGAAAAAAGAAAACGTGGTGAAAACATTTATCGAATCTTGTTTGCATGAGATCTCCTTAAATTGACGAGACGGGTGTAGCCTTAAGGCGGTTTCTTGGAAGAATGTAGCAGAAACACTACAAAAGAATCATAATTTTATCGTTGAACAACGGAAAATGAAAAACCATCATGATTACCTTAAAGGAAAATATGGAGCATAGATAAAGTTAAGAAACAAAATGGGTAACGTTTATGATTCATCGACAAACATGTTTAATCTATCAGAAGAGGAACGACAGATGGAAATGAAGGTCACATTCCATCTTTTTCTATTTTGAATATTCTTAAATTCTTCGTATATATACTTATAAGTTTTTTATAAACAACAAAACAAATTTGTTGAGAAGTTGCGGATTGCACGTCTTCCCTTTCCTGAACTTTGCATTCAACTGTTTGATGGTGTTGCTTCCACCAATGTTGGAACTTGGGGACAACTGCTACCGTTCCAAACCCTTCTAGTGTGACTCCTGAAATTGTTGAAGGTTATGATATACAAGACTACTAAAATTTAACACAAGAAACATTCTTTTTCGTCCCTGGCCTCAAAGGAAAAAACAAAGAAGAAAACAACATTTGGTAAATGAGAATGATTTGGTAAAGATTATGACACATGTAAAGAGATCTTGAACAAACTAGGGGAGAATGAGATGGATCTTTGCATGGATAAGTTGGAAACACTTGAGTGAGAGCAAACCGCATTGTATGACATAGCACTTTACGTATTCAACAAAGCAACTATAGGAAAATTTGGTTACGCTTGAACAAGGAGAGATGTGAGGGGTGAGTCAAATTTACAAGTCGTAAGCTCGGTCTTTTTTAGTTAGAAGCAATGTTTTGTTTGAACAATGTTTTTTAGATGATCTTTTTTAGGATATTTTTCTTTGGATGGTATTACTATTGATTAAATTTGAATAAATGGTTATTTCAATTTGACATGATGTGTCTTTTAAGTTGATGTTTTATTTTTATTTTTTATATTGGTCGTTTAAACTTGATGTTATATCTATGATATACTTGAAAAATAAGATGATGTTCTTTTGTGTTTATATTTGCAACGTCATACAAGGATCAAAACAAAATCATTCTGATTGTAGTTATTATATATTGGTATTTGAGAAGACGAGCTTCAACAAGGATAGAAATGGTAAGAGATAACACTTCAGTTTGACTTGGACATGCATATACGCAAGAATCATTAAGTGGATCCAATATGTAATGTGTAACACCCCCGTCATGCATGGTTAAAGACGAAAGATGCCACAATTGTTTAAAAAAAATATATAATTCAACACATTATATAAAACAAAGCAGCTAATATAATTTACCAAAAGATAATTACATAACCACAAACGGAGATTACAACGAGTATCAAAATACAGTCTCAAAATACAAGTATATCTACATTAGTCATCAAACGTTCAACAAAAGTATGTCCTAATGGGTTATCTTCAATATTTTCATCTTCGTAGCTCTCATCCCAAAATCCCTGTTAAGTCATGTACCTGCGAGGACAAAGAAAATCTCGGTTGAGCATAATGCTCAGTGAACGGATAATAATACTAAACCATGAATATGAGATAACAAGTTCAAAATCAATTTATAACGTTAAGTGATAATCCTAAAGAAAGTCAAAATGCCTCGAAGGCATGTCAAGGATCTGAAGACCAAACCGCATCACGAGGACACATTGTTCCCAAAGGATGATCAGTCCGTTCGGGCATGAATGAGGAAAGAGGTGCGAGCACAATACAACAATCCTCTCCGTGGATTTAATCATGGCTACAATTTATTATTTGGTAACGGCTCCTAGTTATGATCCATATGCCCTCTATTCGACCGGTACATAGGAATAGAAGAGATAAGAGATAAAGGTTCTAAACTTAAGCATTGACTTGTCACTAACATGATCTTGCTTATCATAGAAATATGCTAGACCACTCTTGATTTTGGCGGGGATCTGAGCGTTAATGATCTCAGTGGCCTTGAAAGAGGCTTTAAACTATCCTTCAATGGTAGCCTTTTCAGCCTTGAGTTCAGCAATTTCTTGCTTACGCTAAAAGATAGCCTGCTAGCGTTCAATGCTGATAGTTTGGTTTACAATGACGTGATTCTTAAGATTTTCTTCAATCTTAGTCAGCTCTTTGGTTTTAGAGTGGCATTTCTCTAGTTGTTCTTGTAAATCAAGATTAAGCTTCGGATTTGCCATTCAGAGCATTATAAAGATCCACAGTCAGCATATCACAAGTAAAAGTAGAAGGGTCATTCATAATGCATATATGAGTAGAGGTTGATGGAGAGAGATTATTGAAGGATGATGTCTCAGAAAGTTCATCCTTGACATCCTTAGCCATAAGACAAAGATAGGCCATCTCTTCCTCATCTGAGGATGATTCTTCAGATGAATCAACCCAATCATGTTCTTCAGCGATAAGACCTTTGCCTTTACGCTGGAGATTCTTCATCTTCTTATACTTCTCCTTCAGTGTAAGATATTTGTCGTTTTTAGGTCTGAAGGAAGATGATATGTTTGAAGATGGCTTTGCAGCTTTCTTTAACCTTCATCCACTTGCAAAGTGTCCTTTGCGTTGACAGTTAAAACAGTTAGTTGAGGCCTTGTCAATAAGATTGATTTTGTCTTGTCAGCGATTGTCAAAGAAGGAGATATGCGGAAATTAATTTTTATGGCAAACCATCTGAAAGAGTTTGTAAGGAGGTCAAGTGACTCATCAAACTCTGATAATTAGCATCTGTTAAGTCCTCAGAGTTAGAAGAATCTAACATAATGATAGCAAGAGAAGAAGAAGGAGTAGGAGAAATAGAAGGATTAGCTGAAGGGTTTTCAAAGATCAAAGCTAAAGGAAAACTTTTCATTTTTCTTTAATCTTTAAGAAGATTCTTCTTCAGCTGATGAGATTGCTCATGATTAAGCAATATCCTATAAAGAAAGCTGAGGGAAAGGGATGACATATCCTTAGACATCTTGAGACACATGGTATAATTATACCACGATTCTCGCAAACATTCTAAGAACTTTGTCAGGGTCTCAGAGTTGAAATATTCTCTTCCAATTGTCCTTAAATCAATAAAAAGATAATTAAAATGTTGATGTACTTCAGACAATGATTCATATTTTCTACAGAGAAAATTTTCATATTTCCCACATGGTTTTCGAGGTTTTTAACTTCATGTAAGTCCTCAATGATCAATCTTCAAGATAAAACCCTAAGCAATTCATGGCAGATCTATGATTTAACATTAAGAACTCTATGAAGAAGATGAGAGAGAAAGTCAAAGTGGTCAAACTTTCTATACGTGACTGATTATATAATTGAGTTAATTCAAAATTACAAAGAACAAATCCTATTTATAGGGTCAAACATGAAAGCCACTAGTCAAAGTCAAACTTTACATAAAAGTCAAACAAGGTGACTTTTACAATTATAGACAAAATTAATTTTCAAGACGAATACAATTTAACACTGAATTTCAGTCCTAACATTCTCCCCCTTTGTATTCAGGCTTGAAAGAATTTACACACTTTGAGTCTCATTTGAACTTTGTCGCTAAAAGCTCTTTATGACTTCTTCAGAAACTTCAAAACAATCTTCACTTGAAATCTTCAGACAATCTTTTGTTGAGAAAAATCTTCTAACATTCTCCCCCTCGAATATAGAATAGCAATGATCTTCTCTTTTGACAATGTAGAACAGTATCAGCAAAAATCTTCAGAAACAATCTACAGGATGTGATCTTTAAAGAATCTCTTCAGATAACGAATACAGACAATCTCTTCAAAACTAAACATTCTCTTCGATGAGAAATTTTTATCAGTAAACTGTTGTAAGGATGATCTTCACATTCAAAAACTCTCAGACATTGTAGTACAAGAATAATCTTCAGTAATTATCTCTAGTCACACTCCTTTTGAGTCTGTTGCCGACTTTGATGTTACTCCTCCTTTATCTTTACAACATATTCCCCTTATATCGTTCAGAATTGGTCATTTCATTCATTATTACATACTCGCCCTTATGATGAAATAAGAATCAATTACATCATACTTAAGAATGAATGAAATTTTCCGCGAAAGCCGTCAATTCATGAAATTGTAAGTAGATCTTTTCAAATCCACTTGTATAATCTTTTCAGATTTAGAGGAAATGGGAAAATAACTACCAATTTCAACCTATGAAATTGTTTTCAATCTTATAAAAAATTGGCCTGTGAGTATAACAGATATACTCAGCACAATAGATGTACTATATATATGAGACTTTATGAGGTTCATCTCACCAAGTCTTCCATTCAATCATCGATAGCTTAATAATAGCATATCTATGAATGTTTCGACAAAATAACATATAAAATGCAAAATCTGTGTAGTGTAGAAAGATAAAGCAACAAATGCTTCTGTTTAGGCTCAAAATGGTAAACCGTGTGGACTACAAAAATTTATCAGACTCAATTAGTGATCAAAAAGACTTGAAAGGGGGACATATATCCTTCTGATTCAATACAGCTTTCTCCGAATGAGAAACTGATAGATTGTGAGCTGCGTGCCCAAGTGTTATTGAAACACTTATCTGTTGAGAGATGAATGAGTAGCTGGTGGGGTTGTGACAAGAATTGGCCTGGGCTTTGCCTTTTTCAATATTAGTCTCGAAAGAATTGAGAACTAATAGATTATGTGATATGCCCGATAATTTGAAGTTTGGAACAGGATTCTATTAATCTTTTAATCCTGACACAACTCTCGTCAATTCTTTTGGCTCACATTAACTACCCCTCTCCTTTTCATTTTAAGCTCAGCACACAAACCCTTTTGTATTTAAAGCTCACTCAGATATGGTTGTCCTCTTGGGTAGGTCTGTCGGTTCTGACATTCCATAGAGTTATTTCTGTGAAGCACTCAGTCCCTCCTAAATTATTGTAAGCTTAGTTGATCACGGTTGATCAAAAATATTACTTTTGTAAAGCATAATGATCAGATAAAATTGATCAAGAAAAATATATCGTTTAAGCACAAACAATGAAGGAGTGATTTACGAAACCAGATTATTCAGTGTATAAGAGAAATGAACGAAGATCTGTAAGTACGAGTTACAGAATTTGAATATTCAAAGAATTATAGAATGTATATCAATCAAAGTAAAAAAATCAGAAAACAAACTTTGAATACTAACGAGCGTATTATTACCGAAAATGATATTATTATAAGAGACGTGATAATAACAGTTTGAAGAATAGCTGAAACAGGTACTGAAGTTATGTACGATGAGAAATTATGCAAGTAAAATATCAGGAAATAGCTGTTCAGAAAATGTACTCGTTTTCCCAAAAAAAAACAACCCATTTTCCAAAAACATTTATTCAAATTTTCTAGAGACTCCCCTCAGAAAGTAGATTTAAATAATGTTTCAGTTCAACTCAAAAAGTTAAAAAAAATTGGAAACATATTTAGCACGGGTCCTAAACTGAGTGTTTAGAAACCATAATGTTTAAGCTCGGGTCCTGAACTGATATATTCAGAAGCCTTGTTTAGACAGTGTATAACTCCCCCTGAATTTGTGCATCATTGGCATGTTATTCTGATTAGCACGATAATGACACACTTGCAAAATAAGATCAAACAGATTTTGGTACCCAAATAAACTTGGGTCCTTCTTTGTTAGTATCAGGTTGCGAGATGTTATAACTTCCAAACCATCTATTTTTATTAGATATGTTCTTTTTCGCGCTTTTAACATGATGATTATATACAGAATAAGATCCATACCAGTTATTGTTATGGTACTTGTTATTATTTTTCCAACTTTTCTGAAATCTGTTGTCTACATTCCATCTATTGTACCTCCTCCTGTTCACAAAATCAGTATTCTTGCATGTGGTGGAGCACATGATCCTTTCCTTGCTAAAATTTATCAAGTCAGAATTGGATCTCACAAAACAAGGAAGATTATTAGTAACAACAGACTTATGAGACAAAGCGGAATCAACTTTATTGACCCAAACATGTTTGTCTTTTGAAAAATAATTGGGTGATCCAATGACATACCCTACTGATTTGAAGAACGAGAATAGTTCTTAGAAACAGTTGATTTAGGACTGCTAGAATAACTGTTAGATTTAACACTAGAACAGTCATAAAGCTAGTTTTACACTGTGATTGAGAACCAGTTGGGCTTTTATCACATGAAAAGTCTTTTACTTTCTTTAATAAATGGTCTCTTTCATCAGCAACTAAAACGTATTTCTTTTTCAGTTCAGTTCTCATGTTCAATTCAGTTACAAGTTCTGTTTCTAGATCAGACAATTTATTTGCAGTATCCAAAAACTTACCTTCTAATTCCTTCTTTAACTTTTCAAATACTTTCCTTTCTTTCTCAAATTTCTTTCTCTCTTCGTCTGAACTTTCCTTCTCATTTTTTGAAGCAATGTCAAGCCATTTCTTTTTCTCTGTAAGCTCTTTGGCAATTGCAACATTTTTTTTGATAGTGTTTTTCTTTTCAAGAACAAACACTCTCTTCTCTTCATCTAATGCTTTCTTCTTCTGAACAATGCTGTCAGACAATTCCAAATTCTTTCTTTGATATTCTTCTTCATACTCTTTCTTCTCTTTATCAAACTTGGATCATTCCAAGATGATAACTTGTTCAAAATCTGATATTTGTTTTGAAAGCAATGTGACATTCAGCTCTAATGTTTTTATCTTGCTTTCAAACACTTTCTTTTCAGCATCAAACCTCTTTTCAGTTTCTAAAACATTATTTCTCTCTTGATCCAGTAATTTCCTAACATCAATCAATTCACTTTCAGATTTATGCAGTTTAGCTGTTAAGTTTTCAATTTGTTTCTTCAATTTCAAATTATCTTGAGAACCTGAAACATTATTCATTAATTCATTCAGCTTTTGTTGCAAAATCTTCTTCTCTTCCTTCTCTCTTTCATTATAATCAGTTAGACAAATTGTCTACCTTATGTTCTTGTTAAACTCAGAATTTAGTTTATCGTATTTTTCTTTAAGCTCTTTATATTCTATCTCATAATATACTGCCATTTCAGAAATAGATTGATCAAAGGATCTAATGCAGTGAAATCAGTTAAAAGAAATCAAAAAACTGATAAGCTCAAAAAAACACAAAAATTGTTGAGGAAACCAAAAAACAAAGAAAAACTGTCAAAATCAGTAAAAACAGTCAAAAACTATTGAAAATAGTTAAAAACTGTTAAAAAACAGTCAGAAACGGTTAAAATTGATTAAAAACAGTTTACACGATCCAAATTAGTTTAAAATTCTCAAAACAGTTTAAAAACAGATAAAATCCTAAAAAACAAACAAATAAAAAGAGATAGACTGAAAAACAAGATAAAATATGATAAAAAAATGAATCAAGCCCAAGATGGAATCAAACCAAAACCAAAACAGTTGGGCCACAAAACCTGATAGACCAAAGAAAGCCCAAAAAGAATGGACCTTTGAATTGGATTAAACTAGCCCAAGACTTTCCAAAATTAGATTAAAATCAGACACAAAGATGTAATATGACAARGTCTTTTATCCGATTATTGAATCCGGATGAAGTGGTGTTCGAGGAAGGAACTAAACCGGGTGAATAGGTTACCAAGAAAACTAAGTCGCTGGCCAAGGATAGTAAGTTGCTTGGCCGAGAGTCACTCAATCTGGACAAGGCAATGTCCGGATTAGAATACGAGATAACCACCAGAGTTCCTTCGGCTGAACGGTTAAGGGAGCCTATTCCCTGCAAAGGTAGAAAAGAACTGCTCAACTTGGTACATGAAGCAATGCAGGCTCCTGATCATGAAGCAACAAACAATCCAACTTCAAAAAGAAAGAGGGCTGCTGCTCCTCCAGCAAAATCAGATAAGAAGTTTATCTATCTCACTCCAATGCCTTTGCAATCCACTGGAGTTGTTGTTGCTGGCTCTGGCTTACTTAAGAACAAAGGGGAAGGGAAACAAAGGAAAAAAGGACCTTGTGTTGGTACAAAGGGTTTCAGGGCTCCAGAGGAATTGATTAAATCTACACACCAAGATCCCAAGGTTGATATATGGTCTGTTGGGGTCACTTTACTCTACTTCATCATTGGAAGAACACCCTTTGTTGGAGACCCAGATCAGAACATAAAAGAGATTGTAAAGTTAAGGGGCAGTGAAGATCTATGAGAGCACAGACAGAAGAGTGGAAGGAATCATCTACAGAAGATGATGATGAGGGTAGATGGCATCATTTAACTCATATCAACTCAGATGACAATGAAGATGGACAGGAGACAACAGTCGTCAATTATGTTGAAATCGAACAATGAAGGCTAAAAACAGTCTCTGTTTGAGCTAAGATATCAAGAACAAATCGGATACTGTTATGCAAGGTAAGTCTATGGATGAATCTGCGCGATATATCCAAATCTCAAAATTTTATGAAGCCCAAATCGATTACTGTGAAATGCGATTTATGTTGAAATTGAACAAAGTCAGTGAGCGATTTAGGTTTCGATTATGCGATGTCAATGTCCGATTTAGCAAAAACCCAGCAACCTTGTTGATCAATTACAACCTCAAGAACTTTTCAATCCCAATTGTGAATCCCAATTATTAATCAAATCAAACAAATCTTCAAGAACACAATTGAGAGGTGAGAGAGATTTTCACCAAGCTTTGAAATGATATTTCTTGAGAGAGAATTACAAAGTGATTAGCAACAACTTTTTATCAAAATTTTGGATCAAAACTCGAAAAATTAAGAACTTTTGAACGAACAGAAAGTTTTCTAAAAGTCCAAAAATCCTTCAAAATTGCCTCAAAACTTGATTATTTTGTAAAATCGTGTGAATCAAAGATGTTCAGAATGTAATCATGAATCTAGTAAACCAAATTTTAACAATTAACACTCAAAATTGACAAGATTAGAGTAGAAAAATCGAAATCCGATCAAGAACACGAAGAACACAGGCGATGACAGTAGTAAAATTCCAAAAAATCGTGTAAAAATCCTCGAATTTTGTGCAATCCTTCTATCAAATTGCTGCTCCTATGCTCTGATACCAAATGTAAGTCCTCTATGATCAATCTTCAAGATAAAACCCTAAGCAATCCATGGCAGATGTATGATTTAGCATTAAGAACTCTATGAAGAAGATGAGAAAGAAAGTCAAAGTGGTCAAACTTTCTATACGTGACTGATTATACAATTGAGTTCATTCAAAATTACAAAGAACAAATCCTATTTATAGGGTCAAACATGAATGCCACTAGTTAAAGTCAAACTTTACAGAAAAGTCAAACACAATGACTTTTACAATTATAGACAAAATTAACTTTCAAGATGAATACAATTTAACACTGAATTTCAGTCCTAACACTTCATAACAGAGTGATAAACCTCATCAGGAAGAGACATGGCTATTATAGATCTAGCTCTAGTATCTAAAGAGACATCTGATTCTTCTAGAGACTGAAGTTGTCTCTAATGAACTGGGATGGTTTAGCAAGAGAGCCATTATCGTGAAAGTATATGTTTGTGTTTTGCAATGCCATTAGAATGGTAAATAAGTTATCTAGAAATAAGAGATAATAAAACATCAATAAAACACTAATAGACACTAAAACAAACACTGCTTTGATACCACTTGTTGGTCTCAGACGGATCTACAAGAGTTTAAAGGTAACAGTTTGTAAAAGGGGAGATAAATACAAACACAACAACTTTCACTTTTTGAAGTTCTTTATTGATAAAGAAGATCAATACAAAATTTTACAGATTATTTGTGGAAAAGTAAGATATAGAACTTATCTAAACAAACACATAAGATATAAAAAGCAAGAAAGAAAAGACTTGCTAGAAGAAAAGGTTAAGAAGTATTGTGCTTGGGAAGAAGCCTTTCTCTTAGGTAGAGAGTTGATCTTCAAGAAGTAAGAATTCTTGGCATCAGTTTTCTTCTTCTGGTTAGAGGTGTGGTTAGTGAGAAGGAAGAGATTCTCAGCTATTTATACATGTTGCATTAAATGCAAGTCAGGCGGTACAAAGCATGTAGCGAGCTTCTAGAGGTGAGCTTGTCCTTTGTTGCAGATATACAGGTTTTTGTCGTATATGAATAGTAGTCTTTCACAAAGTAGGTAAGCATGCTTGGAAACAATAAAGTGACTCCGTACAGTACTTTACTTTGAGAGGTATGGGTTTGTTCTTTGCGTGTAGAAGAACAAGACAAAAACTAATATTGTTCAACAAGATTCATTTGATCGCTGACACTGGAATACCGCTGAGGTTTCTTCAACGTTACCTGAATCTTGAGTAGATTTCACACTTGTGTAGACAAGCTGATTATCACTGAAAACCGCATCAGATCACGAAGTTGCTTGTCTCTATCTTTAGCTTTATCTTCGATATCACTGAAGGTTCTGTGGTGTGAGTTTTGTGTTCCTGAAGAATACTTGTCTCTATGAGAATTACAATAATTTTTCAGCGATCACTAAATAGACTCAGTCATGATCGTTGAAACTGAATAAAGAGATAATACACTTCGTAAGTTAAAAAAGATCATTATCAAATCACTGAGAGAGAGGATCAATAGAAATTGTGAAGAATTATATTTGTCTGCATGAAATATTAACGATATAATATTATCTTTTGTATTTGAGAACTTGTTATATTACAAGTTTTGTATAGAGATTTTATGGAAAAAGTTATTAGCTACTTTGTAGATATTGAGACCGAATGTGTAAATTATATTTCTTGATATATGAAAATATATGTTTATATGCAAATGTGATCTTAGGGTGTTATACGGTGGTTCAGATCGGTAGTGGTCGGCGGTGGTTCAGATCAGTGGTAGTTCAGATCGGTGGTGTCGTTGGTGGTTCAAATTGATGGTAGTCGGGGTGGTTCAAATGGCGATGGTCAGTGGTAGTTTAGATGGCAGTGGTAGATGGTGATTCAGATTGACGGTGGTCAAAGGTGGTCGACGATGGTAATATTGGGTTTTATGATATTAGGGTATATTGGGTTAAGGACATATTTGGTACTATGAAAATAGAGAATTCCATTCTAAAAAAATATCATGTAGTTGCTAAGGAATATTAAATTCCTTTACTTATATAATTTATAAGATTTTAACGATTCATTTCGTGAAAAAGAATTAACCAAACGAGGGAATGGAATTTGGTTAATGGAATTCGACATTTCAATTCCATCAGATTTTTCAGAATTTGCAAACCAAATTCCCCCTAAGACTTAGTGTGGAAAAAGAGCAGATGTTGAGAGCGACTGAATTAACTTTGGAGTAAGCAGAGAATGTGTAACGGTTATGATGAGGAGAGGAAGAGGTAATAAGATCTGGAAAAAAAAACTTAAAAATCTCAAAGAAAATGGGGAAGCAAGGATTTGAAATACTGATTTGTGAGGATGACAATTAGGGCCTAGGTTTTGCATATATATATATATATATATATATATATATATATATATATATATATATATATGAGCGATCAAATGAAAACCGCCCCCATTTGTGTAAATCGTGTAAACCAATCTCACCTATCCATTTTCTTGATCAATGGTCAAGATTAATTTAGTTTATTTTAGAAAATTAAAAATATATATATACTAAAAATTTATTTTTATATCAGCAATAAGGGCAAAATGGCAAACAAAAATACATGAAATAAAACATGAAATAGTTTCACTGTTTAGATTATGAAAATTTTTCATTGTTTACTAAGTTCATGAAATTTTACTCATGATTTGATGAGTAATTTGTTATTTCGTGATATTATTAATGAACTTGATTCACTTTTCGCTAATGAATCAGGCTTTTTATTCTTTACTCTGAATTTGTTTCAATGTCTTTCGCACACCCATGTAAATATGCACCCTATTCGTCATGCAATTATTTCAAGACGCACCGATTTCATCATTTACCCTTTTCATCATGCAATTATTTCACGACGAACCGCCTCCATCATGCACCCGTTTCATTTTCCATTTCACCTATTATACGGATCAACTACACTATCACTGAAACGGGTTTCACCATTAAAATTCGTTCAATACTCATTGTTCAATTACGCCATAAACCATTTTCACCTTCATGAAACATGTTTCATGTACATTAATTTTTTTATTCCAATCTGATTTGATGAACTACACCATCACTGAAACATGTTTTACCATGAAGTTCGTTCAATACTCATTGTTCAATTACGCCATGAACCATTTTCATCTTCATGAAACATGTTTCATATACATTAATTTTTTTTTATTTCACTCCTGATTTGATGAATTCATTCCCCTAATGCCTTACAATCTTCAAGATTCTGCAACATATTCAATCACCACACCATTTAAGAATTTCAAATTTTTTATATTATAATATAATTAAATATTTAAATGTTACAATTTATAAAATTTCCATTATTACGTTTCCTTATTTAAGATTTATTTAATAACTTCCATATTTAATAGAAAAAATTGTAAATGACCGAAATACACTTATTGATTAAATTTAATTAGAAAAAAATAGAATTTTCCTATTGGTCGAAATTAGTTTACACGGTTTCTAAGAAATGCACGGTTTTCATTTGAACGTGCCTCTCTCTCTCTCTCTCTATATATATATATATATAGATAGATAGATAGATAGATAGATAGATAGATGAATATAGATATAGATAGATAGATAGATAGATAGATAGATAGATAGATAGATGGCTTTAGAAGTAGCCAAAAAGTGAAATTGACTTTCTAGAATGGCCATTTCCGTCAGTTTCCCCATTATTCAGGGTCACAATGTTGACTCTTTAGATTAACATTTTATGTAAATCACACATCTTGTTAATGTTTTCATATCATTATAAACTTTCAGGTTAAAATAAACTTTTTAGGAACCATCAATTTTAAAATCAAAAGTATATATTGGTTATAGCCTGAGATCTTATTCTTGTTTTAAAGATTTAGAGAAGTACTTAAAACTAATGTACATATTAGGTAACAAAAAGTTAATAATGTATGAAGAAACAAGAGTATATTTCAAATCCTAAAAATAGATATAAGTTGGATCGCTTATATGATTGATAATTTTCTTCCACAAGGTAGGAGTTTTCTTAGTTAATAACAAAAAATCTGTATACTCTGATACAAAAATAGATTTCATGCGGATGAAATAATCAAA